AAGGTAGATTTAAATACATTTACCTGATTTAGATGAAGCCTCAGCACTCTTCTTCATCAATTTTTTCACTCATCACACCCGAATCTGAAACAGGGTTCAAAGCTTCAGTTTAACTCTTCTGAAATGTTTGACATCTTGACATTACACATTATAAACAGCAGCAGATTAAATATTTTTACCTGATTTAGATGAAGCCTCAGCACTCTTCTCTCATCAATTTTTTCACTCATCACACCCGAATCTGAAACAGGGTTCAAAGCTTCAGTTTAACTCTTCTGAAATGTTTACATCTTGACATTTTACCAACAATAATTATAAACACAGCAGATTAAATATTTTTACCTGATGTAGATGAAGCCATAATTTGTATTCAGTGTTGTAACCACACAGGTGAGAGAGATGAGTGTTCAAGCTTCTGTTCAACGCATTATTTGTAGCTTCACAGCTGACACACCTCCAGCATTTGCATAACAGGTTTATATGATAGAGACAAAGACGAGCACACCTTGCAGACACCACACAACCTTTTACTGAACAGGATTGAAAGACTTTCTCTGACAGTAAGTTTTGCCACCAAGTTTGCATTCAGTATGACTATTAAAATTTATATTTGTGTTAGGCAAGATGATGGAGCAGGACGAATATAGAGGAAAGGAAAAAGTGGTAAGTAAGAAGAAGTCTAGCATGCAGCGGACTAGAATTAGTATTGTTTTTTGTTTCTTTTGTTTGCCCACTGAACACTTAACACATATGAATAGTAAATTCTTCTGTTAACTTTTGTGTGTGCACTGATTTTCTTTGTTGTGTCTTTCTCTGTTTTTTCTTACATACGATGTGAAATAGATAACATTTGTGCTGTATACACTATCAGTCAGTTTGGACACACCTTCTAATTTAATGTTTTTTCTTTACTTTACTTTACTACTTTCTACATCATAGATACATACTGAAAACACCAAATATATAAAGCAAGATGTATGGAATTATCTAGCAAAGAAAGGATTGATAAATAACTCTAAATATGTTTTAGATTGTGGATTTTTCAAAGTAGCCACCCTTTCATTTGTTGACATTGCTGCAAGCCTTTGGCTTTCTGTCAATTAGCTTCACTGAGAAAAATAAAAGTGTGAAATAGCTTTTTGAGTTATATACTTTTTTGTTTACAACAATATTCCATTTGTGTTCATTCATAGATTGATGCCTTAATTCTATAATGTAAATAGTATTGAAAATAAAGAAAAAACAATAAATGAGAAGGTGTGTCCAAAATGTTTGACTGGTAGGGTACATAAGCCGTACTAAAAATGTGCTGCTCTGTGTTTTTTCTTCACTGGTAGTGCTTCCTCGCTTCAGATTTTCTGTGTGTGTGTTGGTTGTAGAGGGTACGTTTTGATCCAAAGTTGAGCAGCAGCAGAAAAAAGAGAAAGCTCAAAAGACTCAGAAACCTTTAGAACACGCCAAAAAGCAGCTCAGGTCCTGTACCATGGGTGGTACCAAAACAAAAAACGAAAAACCAGCTGAAGGCATCCAACAAGTGCAAGCAACAAAAGTCAGGTAAAGGTTTCAGTTTCAAATTGGCTATTACAGGACATTATGTAAAAAGAACTATGCTGTACATTCATACAAGTACTGTACTTTGTAACTTTAACCTTTTATGGTGCTCTTATTCATTACTATTCCTTAATTATCATTATTTAATCACATGAACAATCAGCTGATTACACAAAGTAAATTGTTTCATAAGCAGTTAATAAGGCTCTAATCCTACATTGTAGATCTACTGACCAACAACATCAAAGAAAGAAGAAAGGTAAGCTATTTCAAAGATGCTTCCAACCATATTCAAGTGTGTGGGTCTGTGGGTCTGTTAAAAATAAATCCTAGAAAAACCGTAATATTCCGGCAGCTGGGGCACCAAAATAATACCATCAAATAAAAGAAAATAACTTCCTCATAAAAATACGGTTATTTTCAGTAATGACAATACAGTTTGTTGCCCTAATTTTACATGGGATTTTGCCTTTTTCAAGTGCTTTTAAACATTAAATTAGGAACATTTTAATGTGATTAAACAATGAAATTACCTATAAACAAGGTCAATGAATGTGGCAATATGATAATAATACTTAAATGTACAGAAATTTACAGTCAACAGTTGGTTCAAATAATAATGGATAGCATGCCCTGGGACAGACTGACAGAGGCTGCCATATCACACCATTGGCCCCTCTGGCTATCACCAGTAGGCAGTAGGTGAAGTGTCTTGACCAAGGACACAAAGACCGAGAGTGTCCGAGCCGGGGCTCGAACCGGCAACCTCCTGATTGCAAGGCGAACTGCCAACTCTTGAGCTACGATCGCCCTAAACAGCAATAATAGTAATAATTATTTGATGTTAACAAAGTTCATGAGACTCATTTCATATATTTTTCCATAGCATTACATTTGAATTTAACAGTTCAATCTTTCAAATAACGGACAAATATTTGTGAAATCATGATACATTTGTGAATGTATTTTAACAATCTAAATATGCATATACATTTAAAAAACAAGAAATTATGTTTTATTACATTACAGTGATTTTACGTTAATTTACATTTGAAATGTAAATCACAGTCTATTTATGTAAATTTAATGATATTCTAGAAGAACAGACAAAATTGTAAAATACACATCGATTCGATCCACGATTCATTCAATTCGATTTGAATCTGGGAAATTTTGCTCAGACAGTCAGAAATATTATAATTCAGATCAGTACATTTACATATTTTTGTATCTATAAAAAGGAAGCTGACACACGCAAGACTTTATCAAAGGTGTGAGCATCACAGCAGATGCCTTTGTGTCAAAGTAGCTGAAGATAAAACACAGAAAAACATGAAGGTTTTCCTGGCCTGGGATTTTATAAAAATATTCTGCAGTACATCAAAAACGAAAGAAAACCATTAATCAACTTATGAACATTACCTCTGAAATTACAGCGGTTTTATTAAGACACAGCGTTTTGCATTTTGTATAATTTTAAAAAGTTTAATTTGTTCAGTATTGAACAGCAGAAATTAGGTTTTCTTTTCGGAAGTAAGTAAAAGGAAAAAACAGCGGCCGACAGCGCTGTAAACAACTGTAGTCTTGTGCATAACAAGCAAGTGAATAATGCAGAAAACAGATTTCGGGGATAGACGGAAAACTGTTCTTGAGGTACACCCAGAGAGAGAGAGAGAGAGCTGTGCATGAAGTGTGATTTTATTGTAGTGGAAGCAAAACAGGAAAAGTCAGAGTGAATTCATGACGATGTTTATGTGAAGCGTTTGGATCTTCTTCTGCTGGTTCGGTCAATATTGTTTGGAGAGAGTGTGGTGGGGCGTGGTCTGCGGTGCCGTGCAGGGAGGGCATCCATAATCACGCCCGCTGGTTAAAACACAGGGACTCAGGTGTGTGTGGTTGTTGTTGTGGTGAGTGTGACTAAAAATGTCTCGAAAGGATATTCCGTGGTCCCGCCGTGCCTTATTCTCACCACAGAGAGATAAAACTAACAGCTTTAGAATCAGCGCAAAAAGGCGTAAACACAAAGCGCGGACCCGCCGAAACATCAGAATCAGCGAGCTGTCGGCTTTCAGCCCCGACGTGTCCGTGCCTCGGGTGAGAAAGGCGACATCTCACTGATTCTGGTCCGCGCTTTGTGTTTACGTCTTTGTGCAGAAGCCGTGTACCTGCTCTCATTTACTGTTTTAAATGTTTGGTGGTTGTCAAAATTTTGTGACGTTTCACCTGAGATTCTGGAATTTTGGGCAAAATACATTTATATAAAAAAATCGATTCAGGATTTTAATGAATCGATATCACGTTATCCAAGAATCGAAAAACCACCTAGTCTCACCCAGGGTGCAGAAAGAGTTAAATTACGTTCTCTACTGGAGTCCTACTCATGTGACAAATATGGCCAATGTGATTGGCTGTGCCTTTCAGGGAGCTCTGTTTAGTTTTAGCAGCGGCAAACCTGCGCTGCAGGAGGAGAGGAGGATGGCAGCAAAAAGGAAGAACCTGGATATAAGAAAGTATTTTTCAAAGAAACCTGTAAGTCACTTAAAGCCAAGTTCACTCATAAAATGTGTCCGTCATAATAACGTTACAGGCTATGCTAGGCTTTGGCCCACATCAGTCTAAAATTGTATGTAACCATGAATAACGTGTTTTGGAAACTAACTGCACAACAGGCAGCACTATTAGTTCTCTCAGTCTCAGAGCAGCATTTCTAATTTTGATTGAAACTGTCAGAGAAAACGGCAGCCTCGAGCAAGCCAGGATATTAGTTTACAGAGGCTGTTAAAATTATATGTCTAACGTTAAAATGTTGGTGACACAATAATTTCATCCTAATGGACTGACATATTCATAGGGTTAATTTTTGAGACAAAATGTCATGAGGTAGTCATGATTTTGCAAATATTCCACCTTGTAGTGCAGTTTGCACAAATTGTTTTAAAAATGCACTCACCTACAAACATTACTGATGAGTCAAGATCTGCACAAATTGACAGAAACACTGAAGCAGCTCCACATTTTATTCTTATTGTCATGTATGTCCTATTTGTCAGGTGACAGAAGAACCAACACAAAGCTCAGAGAGCAATGGTGATGCAAGATCACAGGTGAAATTGGATGATGACTTGATGGTTCATGACTGTATTTGAAGCACATGTGTGACTGCATGTACAGTATGTGGAATGTCTCACTGTTATTTATCAGGTGACAGAGGCAGCTCTGCCATGTTGTAGCTCAGACAGAGGTCACAGGTGACTGACTGATGATTTGGTGCTGTAGATTAACTAGTATTTATTATCATGACAATTGTTAGGCTGCTGATGTAAATTGATTCATTAGTGTATATTTGACAAAGAATCTGAATTGACACGTCTCACTTTTTATATGGCACGAATCCATGTGTTATTTTATCAGGTGGCAATATGTCCTAGTGCAGTCAGAGGGGAGGAGCCAGGGCCAAAGGTGAGGCACATCAAGCACAGAATAATAATTTTAATCTGAGGATAAAACGCAGGTACTGAGGCTGAAAGAAGCTTCAGTGCTCTCAGAAGACTAAAAACAATGGCTAAGGTCAACAATGACTCAGAATGAGATTAAACAATGCTGCTGTGTGTCCACCAGGAGAGACTGGACAGTATAGATGTAAAACCAATATGCCAGCAGTTTATTCTCAGTTAACGAGAGGAGAAGGCATGTGTTTGGCTCCTTCACATAGTGGACATTGAGTTGTTGTGTGGGACACCAGTAGTCCATGTCTGTTGCTGTAACAGTAGAATAAAAAATACAAAATAACACATAGTATTGAATTAACAGGGCAATAGTGCCTAAAATGTTGCATAATTTTGCTGAGAGATCTTTTACTTTGTGTAATCTTAGATGAGTAGTTTTATGGACAAAACCCACCAGATCATTTAGTGCTCCCTTAGTGCTAATGTGTCAGAGATGTTGGTGTAATATAACTGAAGTAATGATGTTAAGTCCTTAAAGTCATATTCTTTTATTGTCATGACTTATTTTTATTTTTGTATGATACCTGATTTATATGGAATATGGCTGAAGTAAACTAAATCTAAAATACTTAGTCATTTGTTTAATAGTAATTTAACATTATATAATTCACATATAAAATATATAATTATATTTTAAATGGTTTAAAAGCATGTAGAATAGCATATGTAGGCAAGTATATTTCTCCTTTTTTATCAAGAAGCAAAGACAAAAAGGAAAAAAAAAAGAAACAGGGCAGGGTTTGAATGAACCATCAAGTCATCATCCAATTCCACCTGTGATCTTGCATCACCAATGCTCTCTGAGCTTTGTGTTGGTTCTTCACCTGACAAACAGGACATACATGACAATAAGAATAAAATGTGGAGCTGCTTCAGTGTTTCTGTCAATTCGTGCAGATCTTGACTCATCAGTAATGTTTGTAGGCTGAGTGCATTTTTAAAACAATTTGTGCAAACTGCACTGCAAGGTGGAATATTTGCAAAATCATGACTACCTCATGACATTTTGTCTCAAAAATTAACCTATGAATATGTCAGTGCCATTAGGATGGAATTATTGTGTCACCAACATTTTAACGTTAGACATATAATCTAACAGCCTCTGTAAACTAATATCCTGGCTTGCTCGAGGCTGCTGTTTTCTCTGAAAGTTTCAATCAAAATTAGAAATGCTGCTCTGAGACTGAGAGAACTAATAGTGCTGCTTGTTGTGCAGTTAGTTTCCAAAACATGTTATTCATGGTTACATACAATTTTAGACTGATGTGGGCCAAAGCCTAGCATAGCCTGTAACGTTGTTATGACGGACACATTTTATGAGTTAATTTGGCTTTAAGTGACTTACAGGTTTCTTTGAAAAATACTTTCTTATATCCAGGTTTTTCCTTTTTGCTGCCATCCTCCTCTCCTCCTTGCAGCTCAGGTTTGCTGCTGCTGAAACTAAACAGAGCTCCCTGAAAGGCACAGCCAATCACATTGGCCATATTTGTCACATGAGGTAGGACTCCATTAGAGAACGTAATTTAACTCTTTCTGCACCGCTGGGTGAATGAGACTAGGGGTGGGTTTTAATAATCGATTCTTGGATAACGTGATATCGATTCATTAAAATCCTGAATCGATTTTTTTATAAAAATGTATTTTGCCCAAAATTCCAGAATCTCAGGTTAAACCTTCACAAAATTTTGACAACCACCAAACATTTAAAACTGTAAATGAGAGCAGGTACACGGCTTCTGCACAAAGACGTAAACACAAAGCGTGGACCAGAATCAGTGAGATGTCGCCTTTCTCACCCGATGGCACGGACACGCTCGGGGCTGAAAGCCGACAGCTCGCTGATTCTGATGTTTCGGCGCGTCCGCGCTTTGTGTTTACGCCCTTTTTGTGATGATTCTAGAGCTGTTAGTTTTATCTCTCTGTGGTGAGAATAAGGCACAGCGGGACCACGGAATATCCTTTCGAGACATTTTTATTCACACTCACCACAACAACAACCACACACACCTGAGTCCCCGTGTTTTAACCTAGCGGGCGTGATTATGGATGCCCTCCCTGCACGGCACCGCAGACCACGCCCCACCACACTCTCTCCAAACAATATTGACCGAACTAGCAGCAAAAGAAGATTCAAACGCTTCACATAAACATCGTCATGAATTCACTCTGACTTTTCCTGTTTTGCTTCCACTACAATAAAATCACACTTCATGCACAGCTCTCTCTCTCTCTCTCTGGGTGTACCTCAAGAACAGTTTTCCGTCTATCCCCGAAATCTGTTTTCTGCATTATTCGCTTGCTTGTTATGCACAAGACTACAGTTGTTTACAGCGCTGTCGGCCGCTGTTTTTTCCTTTTACTTACTTCCGAAAAGAAAACCTAATTTCTGCTGTTCAATACTGAACAAATGTAAACTTTTTAAAATTATACAAAATGCAAAACGCTGTGTCTCTAATAAAACTGCTGTAATTTCAGAGGTAATGTTCATAAGTTGATTAATGGTTTTCTTTTGTTTTTGATGTACTGCAGAATATTTTTATAAAATTCCAGGCCAGGAAAACCTTCATGTTTTTCTGTGTTTTATCTTCAGCTACTTTGACACAAAGGCATCTGCTGTGATGCTCACACCTTTGATAGTCTTGCGTGTGTCAGCTTCCTTTTTATAGATACAAAAATATGTAAATGTACTGACCTGAATTATAATATTTCTGACTGTCTGAGGCAAAATTTCCCAGATTCAAATCGAATTGAATGGAATCGTGGATCGAATCGATGTGTATTTTACAATTTTGTTCTGTTCTTCTAGAATATCATTAAATTTACATAAATAGACTGTGATTTCACATTTCAAATGTAAATTAACGTAAAATCACTGTAATGTAATAAAACATAATTTTCTTGTTTTTTAAATGTATATGCATATTTAGATTGTTAAAATACATTCACAAATGTATCATGATTTCACAAATATTTGTCCGTTATTTGAAAGATTGAACTGTTAAATTCAAATGTAATGCTATGGAAAAATATATGAAATGAGTCTCATGAACTTTGTTAACATCAAATAATTATTACTATTATTGCTGTTTAGGGCGATCGTAGCTCAAGAGTTGGCAGTTCGCCTTGCAATCAGGAGGTTGCCGGTTCGAGCCCCGGCTCGGACACTCTCGGTCTTTGTGTCCTTGGTCAAGACACTTCACCTACTGCCTACTGGTGATAGCCAGAGGGGCCAATGGTGTGATATGGCAGCCTCTGTCAGTCTGTCCCAGGGCATGCTATCCATTATTATTTGAACCAACTGTTGACTGTAAATTTCTGTACATTTAAGTATTATTATGCATATTGCCACATTCATTGACCTTGTTTATAGGTAATTTCATTGTTCAATCACATTGACATGTTCCTAATTTAATGTTTAAAAGCACTTGAAGAAGGCAAAATCCCATGTAAAATTAGGGCAACAAACTGTATTGTCATTACTGAAAATAACCGTATTTTTATGAGGAAGTTATTTTCTTTTATTTGATGGTATTATTTTGGTGCCCCAGCTGCCGGAATATTACGGTTTTTCTAGGATTTATTTTTAACAGACCCACAGACCCACACACTTGAATATGGTTGGAAGCATCTTTGAAATAGCTTACCTTTCTTCTTTCTTTGATGTTGTTGGTCAGTAGATCTACAATGTAGGATTAGAGCCTTATTAACTGCTTATGAAACAATTTACTTTGTGTAATCAGCTGATTGTTCATGTGATTAAATAATGATAATTAAGGAATAGTAATGAATAAGAGCACCATAAAAGGTTAAAGTTACAAAGTACAGTACTTGTATGAATGTACAGCATAGTTCTTTTTACATAATGTCCTGTAATAGCCAATTTGAAACTGAAACCTTTACCTGACTTTTGTTGCTTGCACTTGTTGGATGCCTTCAGCTGGTTTTTCGTTTTTTGTTTTGGTACCACCCATGGTACAGGACCTGAGCTGCTTTTTGGCGTGTTCTAAAGGTTTCTGAGTCTTTTGAGCTTTCTCTTTTTTCTGCTGCTGCTCAACTTTGGATCAAAACGTACCCTCTACAACCAACACACACACAGAAAATCTGAAGCGAGGAAGCACTACCAGTGAAGAAAAAACACAGAGCAGCACATTTTTAGTACGGCTTATGTACCCTACCAGTCAAACATTTTGGACACACCTTCTCATTTATTGTTTTTTCTTTTATTTCAATACTATTTACATTATAGAATTAAGGCATCAATCTATGAATGAACACAAATGGAATATTGTTGTAAACAAAAAAGTATATAACTCAAAAAGCTATTTCACACTTTTATTTTTCTCAGTGAAGCTAATTGACAGAAAGCCAAAGGCTTGCAGCAATGTCAACAAATGAAAGGGTGGCTACTTTGAAAAATCCACAATCTAAAACATATTTAGAGTTATTTATCAATCCTTTCTTTGCTAGATAATTCCATACATCTTGCTTTATATATTTGGTGTTTTCAGTATGTATCTATGATGTAGAAAGTAGTAAAGTAAAGTAAAGAAAAAACATTAAATTAGAAGGTGTGTCCAAACTGACTGATAGTGTATACAGCACAAATGTTATCTATTTCACATCGTATGTAAGAAAAAACAGAGAAAGACACAACAAAGAAAATCAGTGCACACACAAAAGTTAACAGAAGAATTTACTATTCATATGTGTTAAGTGTTCAGTGGGCAAACAAAAGAAACAAAAAACAATACTAATTCTAGTCCGCTGCATGCTAGACTTCTTCTTACTTCCACTTTTTCCTTTCCTCTATATTCGTCCTGCTCCATCATCTTGCCTAACACAAATATAAATTTTAATAGTCATACTGAATGCAAACTTGGTGGCAAAACTTACTGTCAGAGAAAGTCTTTCAATCCTGTTCAGTAAAAGGTTGTGTGGTGTCTGCAAGGTGTGCTCGTCTTTGTCTCTATCATATAAACCTGTTATGCAAATGCTGGAGGTGTGTCAGCTGTGAAGCTACAAATAATGCGTTGAACAGAAGCTTGAACACTCATCTCTCTCACCTGTGTGGTTACAACACTGAATACAAATTATGGCTTCATCTACATCAGGTAAAAATATTTAATCTGCTGTGTTTATAATTATTGTTGGTAAAATGTCAAGATGTAAACATTTCAGAAGAGTTAAACTGAAGCTTTGAACCCTGTTTCAGATTCGGGTGTGATGAGTGAAAAAATTGATGAGAAGAAGAGTGCTGAGGCTTCATCTAAATCAGGTAAAAATATTTAATCTGCTGTGTTTATAATTATTGTTGGTAAAATGTCAAGATGTCAACATTTCAGAAGAGTTAAACTGAAGCTTTGAACCCTGTTTCAGATTCGGGTGTGATGAGTGAAAAAATTGATGAGAAGAGTGCTGAGGCTTCATCTAAATCAGGTAAAATGTATTTAATCTGCTCTGTTTATATGTGTTATATGTGCTCATATGCACTGAAATACATGAAACGTATTGACATAACCTTTCAGATGTGTTAAACTGAAGTCATGAATTGTATTTCAGATCCTGATTTGAGGATTGTGATGATTGGAAAAACTGGTGTGGGAAAGAGTGCTGTTGGGAACACCATCCTGGAAAAAAAACATTTCAAGTCTCTTCCCAGTTCAGAGTCGGTGACTGAAACCTGTAAAGCAGGTGAAACAGATGGGGCCGTGAGAAAAATTTCTATTACAGACACACCAGGGATCATTGACACTAAGCTATCTGAAGAGATGATCAAAAAGGAAATTATAAAATGTGTTGAAGTCTCCAGTCCAGGTCCTCATGCTTTTCTACTGGTGCTCCAAGTCGGCCGATTCACCACAGAGGAGAAAAACTCTGTGGAAGCCCTGCAGGAGCTGTTTGGTCCAAAAGCTAACAATTACATGATTGTGCTGTTCACCCACGGAGATGATCTTGAAGACCAGGAAATCACCATACAGCAGTATGTACGTGAAGCCAAATCAGGCCTCAGACAAGTCATCCAAAGCTGTGGAAACAGGTTCCACGTCTTCAACAACAGAAGCAAAGACAAACAGCAGGTGGAGGAGTTGATCAAGAAGATTGACGACATGGTGGCAGTAAACGGTGGCACATACTACACCAATGCCATGTACAGAGAGGTGGAAGAAAGGAAACAGAAACAGGCTGAGATGGAGCATGAAGAATACAAGTTCCTGGCTCAACTGTTAGAGCAGATTCTGCGTTTTCATTCACGTCTTAAAAGAGAATAAAATTTTTTTAGATGATGTAAACCTGTAGACAAATATCTGTGGTGTTAATTTGCCCTGGTTAGATTTGAGATTTAAGAAGAATGCGTTTTAAAAAAGTAGTGATAAATCAAGCTGTGATATGCTACAAATATTTTTATAAAAAATATTTCTTACATATATATATGTGTGTATATCAGAATCAGAAGACTTTATTGATCCCAAGGGGAAATTATGTTGGTTACAGTGCTCCAGTACAATCAGTAACAAAAACGGACAACACTAGCAGTAAGAAATAGAACAATATATATAATATATACATGCATATAAGTCGCTTACTGATGAATATCTGAATGAGAAGGAAAGAAAGAAAGAAGAGCATGTGTAAAAAGGTTGTAGCTATTGCAGTATACAGTGTGTTAGGTGGAGGAGTTGTACAGGGAGATGGCCACATCTTTTCATGTGTGTGGGGGTGCACAACTATGTTTATATAAGAATATATATCTGTAAGCCTGTATATTTTGTATATATGACATGTTACTGGGCTTAAAAATAAATACATGTAACAAATGATAAGGAAGAATTAATTATGGACAGGGCAAAAACAGAAAGAAAAAGTGTTTACTATTAGTTAGTGAATAGTGGAAAAGGGATAAACTTGTGCTTTATCATACTCCTTTCTGGTCATATAAGTTATTTATAATTATTATTATTTTTTCCTTTTGTTTTGCTTTGTTTGTTTGTGTCTCTTTTTCTCTGTTGCTGTTATACTGTTTTAACATGTTAAAATAAAGATACAATATAAACAAAAAGATTTTAAGAATTAGGTTTTAATACGGAGCCACACACAGAATCTCAAACACACATTGTTCTTTGAACCTATTTTTTGACAAATCATAATGATTCATAAAAGCTTAGATTTATCAGTAAATTACATTAAATATCATAAAATTAATTCAAACATATCCAACAGGATTTGTTACAAATAGGTAAGTTTGTAACTATAGAAAATAGATTTTTTTGTACAATAGAAAATATTTATAAAAAAAAAAAAATAAAAAATAAATAAATAAATATATAT